AGTTGCATCAGCCTCACAATCTGTGCTGTGTTTAAGTCCATTGTTGCAAATGCTTTGTCAATACATCTATCTCATTAAGGATCTACCATATTTTTGTTTACCCTTTCTCTTACCAAACATGATGGCTTTCTTCAGGAACAGGCCACTCGATAATACACCCAAAGTATGAGATGAACTCTTGCCATTCTCACTGCTGAGAAGCACCCTGGTTGCATTTCCTTCAAGAGATTTCTTTTTTCTTTGATTGCTGATGCTATTAGGTGTCATTGAGTCAACTATGACTCATAGTGACACTATGAACAAACACTCTGAATCCTGTCTTATCATGTGTCATCCTCATAATCTCTGACATGCTCAAGCTCATTGCTTGACTCACTGTGTCAATCCATCTGCCTGAAGGTCCTCCTCCTCCTTCCACCTTTCCACTCATGATGTCCCTCTTCAAGAAATAACCTCTCCTAGCAACATGCTCAAAGTATGTGAGTTTTCATCATCTTTGCCTTAAAGGAGTACTGTGGCTATATCTTCTTCAAGATACATCTATTTATTCTTTTGGAAGTCCAATGGATTCAGCATTCTTCTCCAACACCACAGTTCAAAGGCATCAACTCTTCTGTCAACCTTAAGTTATTGTCCCGCTCAAAATTGTATAGCAAATGACCAAAAAGACCACAGCCTGAATTAGGTACATCTTAGTCCTCAAACTGATATCATTACTTCTCAATAATTTGGAGAGGTCCGTGACTACTGACTTTCCCAGTGTAATATGTCTCCTGATCTCCTAACTGCTAGTACCAAATGTGTTGACTGTGGATCCAAGTAAGATGAAGTCAATGACAGTCTCAATCCTCTCACCGTCCATCATGATGTTTTTGCCCCTTTGTCCAGTGGAGAAGATTTTGATGGACTATGGCATATTCAGTATTCTTCACAAACACTACAATAATGTCTTCTTCTTTCTAGTGTCATCTGTTGGGAGATGTACTGCTAACAGAAGAAGGTGTCTCTGACAATTAGAATCTACCAGTGGCTCCATTGTACAAACATCTCAGAAAACCCTGTGTAGGGTCAGCTATGAGTTTGTTCCAAACTGATGGCAATGAATTTTTTTTGAGGCAAATTAATTCCTACTTTCACATATAAGTGCTGCATTTGAAAATACCATAGCTTAGTTCTATTCACCTTAATTCATTAAATTACATTCTTACTCTTTAACACTTTTAAGGAGTAAGTTTTTAGTACTTTTTCCCAATGTAATAGCCATTTGATTTCTTTACTGGACTTAGTGGCAGCAAACTTTACTCTTAGCCATTGTAGCTATGCATTGGAAATAAAGAATAAATAAATAAATAAATGGGGAAATGCCAGCTTCATTTAAGAATGTCCTTGATGAAGAAAAAAAAAGTACTTATTAAAGGTCTGCCACTCAGTACAAGTATTTTTAACATTCTCTTTGATTGAATGAGACTTAGTTTATAACATTTCTGCTTCATTGTGAATTGTGATGCTTTTCTTGGAAAAAAGCCATTTGTGCTATTGTTCAAGTTAAGAGCTGAATTAACCACGTTTTCCATGGAATAGCAATTTTTACTTGACAATAAGAAATAAACTATGGTAATTCAGACTGAATAATTTGAGAGACATTTTCTTCAGAAAGAAAAATGAATGTGTTGCTTTAAAATTGAAGGTAATTTTTGCTAATATAATATTTGAGCTTTCACATAAAATTCGGGAATTAAAAAATTGAATTTTATCAATAGGAGCTTGACAAAATCTTAATACTTAGTGATTTCTGATAAGCACAGTTGTGATATTAACAAATAAGTGGTTTTTTTTGGTATGCACATCCATGTTTATTTAAAATTGGGTTTTTAAAATTTTTCTATTAGTTTATTTACACAATTTGAATACATTGTTTTCAAGAACAAATTATTTCAATTTCTCTCATCCCCCACCCAACAAATTGTACAAACCTATGATTCTCCCCTCCCCTTGCACATCCTTATCCCTCTGCTTCCAACCTCTCGTAACCCTCTTGGATCCTTATATTCATTCTACAATAATGATTTTATATAATATTTGTCCTTGTGGGACTGAGTTCACTCAGCATAATGCTCACCAGTCCCTCCCAAATTAGGTAGTAATATATCAAATCATTATGTGCTGCATAGTATTCCATTGTGTGAACGTACCATAATTTCTCAATTCATTTGGTTTGTGGTTGGGTTTTTTAAAAATATTGTATAATGAAATGCGGTGCTACCAAGTTGGAAATGGCTCATAGCTGGACTCTCTATTGGATTCACAAGGTTTTGAATTGCATGGAAGGAGAGTGTTCATGTTTCTCCCTTGGATTCACTAGTAGATTCATGTCTCCAGAGAACTGTGGTCTTTTGGATTAGCAGTTCAACTTCATATTAACTATACCACCAGATCTCTCTTCTAGGTACAACAAATCATATCTTACCCAATTTTGTGCTGTCCTCACAATCTTTCCTGGGTTGAAGCCCATCTTATAGCCTCTATCATTATTGCAACTTACAGACAATTAGACCAAAATCAATAGAAATAGCTGCTCTTAACAATGAATCTACGAAGTGATGAAACTGTGATCCAAATCAAGAGATTTGATTCAGGGATTACCATCTCCAATCACTTCACTCACCCTCAGCCCTCCCAGAGGTAAATTAACACATTACCACACTAATAAATATTTCTGTTTCTCAAATAGAAGTTGAGCCAAGAAATCTGGAGAACAACCACTTGGCCAATTGACTGGAAGAGGTCAATATTTGTTCCCATCCCAAAGAAGGGCAACCCAACTGGGTGTGGAAACTACAGAACAATATCACTGATTTCACATGCAAGCAAGATTCTACTGAAGATTATCCAAAAACGACTGGAACAGTACATCAGCAGAGAACTGTCAGAATTCCAGGCTGGGTTTAGAAGGGGTTGTGGTACTAGGGATATTGTAGCTGATGTTAGATGGATCTTAGCTGAAAGCAGAGAATACCAGAAGAATGTCTATCTGTGTTTCATTGATTATGCAAAGGCATTTGACTGCGTGGATCATAACAAACTGTGGCTGACTCTGAGAAGAATGGGAATCCCAGAACATTTAATCATGCTAATGTGAAACCTATACTTGGACCAAGAGGCAGTCATCAGAACAGAGCAGGGCAACACTGCATGGTTCAAAATTGGGAAGGGTGTACGTTAGGGATGTGTCCTATCTCCATACCTTTTCAACCCGTATGCAGAACAGATTATCTGAGAGGTTGGGCTCTATGAGGAGAAGCATAGCGTTAGAATTGGTGGACGATCTATCAACAATCTGCGTTATGCAGATGACACAACCTTGCTCGCTGAAACTGAGGAGGACCTCATGCACTTACTGCACAGGGTCAAGGACTGCAGCCTTCAATATGGACTGAGGCTCAATGTCAAGAAGACAAAGATTCTCACCACTGGACCAATCGGTAGCATCAGGATGGATGGTGAAGAGATTAAGATTGTTCACAGCTTCAGTTTGCTCGCTCCACCATCAACACTCTTGGCACCAGTAGCCAGGAAATCAAAAAACGTATTGTGATGGGAAAGTCTGCTGTTAGGGACCTCTCCAAAATACTCAAGAGCAACAGTGTCTCTCTGGAGACTAAGGTCCGCCTGATACCAGCCATGGTTTTTGCAATCACTTGTTATGCATCAGAGAGTTGGACAATGACTAGGGAGGATAGAAGGAGAATTGACACCTTTGAGCTGTAGTGCTGGAGAAAGAGTATTGAATGTACCATGGACTGCCAAGAAAACAAACAGATTCATCCTTGAGAGGATTAAACCAGGCTTTTCCTTGGAGGGAAGAATTCTGGGTCTTCGTCTGACATACTTTGGACAAGTTGTAAGGAGAGACAGGTCTTTAGAGAGGGACATCATGCTGGGTAGAGTGGAGGGACAGCGGAGGAGGGGAGGACCCTCTATGGGGTGGATTGATTCAGTAACTGGGGTAATCGGGATGGGTGTGTCAGAGGCAATGTGATTGGCACAGGATAGAGCAGGGTTTAGGGCTGTTGTACATAGGGTCGCTACGAGTCGCAAACGACTTGAGGGCACATAACAACAACAACAAATAGAAGAAACCATATATATTCAGAAATGTATTCCAGGAAAGATTCTTCTTTGAACTTAACTATCCATACTTCATAAGAACTACTTTTTCTGTCTAACTAAAAGAACTTTTTTAAAACCATCTTTTCCTTTGTTTTATTTATGAACCTACAATGTTCTTATGTAATTCAGAGATTTCACGTCTTTTTTGTTTTAGCATTGAAATCTACATAGAAAGCTGAGCTAACATAAACAATTCGAAATTCAAAGGTCCAATAGTTCCTCCATTCCAACACTGACTGAGAAGTTGTTTCCCAGCAAGTATATTGCCTATCTCTCAGGAGGCCTAAAGGCAGTTAACTGATTCATTTTAAGGTAACAGTTCAATCCCATATGTATTTATTGAATGAGCAGAGTATAAAGTTGTCTTTTTTCTTGCTGCTCTCCAGATAGCTATAATTGAGCTTGAGTATTAATCATAGGTCAAAAAAATTTACATTCAACCCTATCCAGATTCTGAGAAAATATACTTCCTTTATATTTCCTTTTTTGAGACACGGTTGAAATCCGGCTTCGTGCTGTGTAGGTATGAACAAATTATGGCCAAAAAAAGGAAAATACTAAGAAAAATGATGGGGCTATGGAACAGAGACACAAAATCCAATTTAAGGTGCTTAGACAATACTACTTTGTTGTGTTAAGTTTTGCAGTCCAGGCTCTGTTAATGATAGTGATTTGACTAATCTTTTCACCCATCCCTTCAATGTCCTTCCTCAAATCAGAAGAAGCTGAATTACCAAGTACCATGAAGCTTCAGAGTTTAGAAAAGACATTTAAACACAACTTTGAAGAAAGAAGTAAAAGATAAAAATCATTGAAAGGAAAATTATTACCTTCCAGTGTATTTCTAAAGCTGAAATTGGCAGATTTATCCATGGGGCCAGAGTCATAGTTGGTCAAACTCAGGCAAAATTCCACATCAGCTGAGGATGGGAGCCTCGGGGTCCTGGCCTTGTCGTTGTTCCCAGGATTTCTCAGTAATGGTCCCTCGGGGGTTCCATCGCATAAAGCCTGGCGGCTGTTGTACTCCTCCAGCCGGCTGCAGATGATCTGCACACAACACCATTATGTTAGAGGAAGTGTCACACAGAGCGCAATGTGACACAGAATCTGGCAAGATTGGAATTCCTGATTATCATCTTTAATTCCCTGATTACTATAAATAATGTTGTTGTTGTTATGTGCTGTCGAGTCGCCTGCGACTCATAGCGACCCAATGTACAACAGCCCTAAACTCCTCTCTGTCCTGTGCCAATCGCACTGTCTCTGACACTCCCATCCCAATTATCCCAGTCACTGAATCAATCC